CGTAGCTTGCCTTTACAGCTTCACCGGACGTTATGGAGCGGCTGAAGGCCAACTCCTGCCCGACGGATACGACTTTAGTCTGAGGGCACCACTAGGGGTTCGAACCTCGGCTCAGGCCGTCGTAATTTCGATCCCCGTTTGAATGGGACGGGGGATCGATCGGCGGGGCGCCCGGGGGCGCCGGTGTGGAGCGCCCGGGCGCGCGTAGGCGCCCGGTTGAATGCGCGATATTGTGTGTTTGAGGTCGTCGTCTTCGCCGGCGAGGACGGTGTCGTGTGTGTGTGTAAAAGTGTGGTGGAACGGGTGGGCCCGTGGGGAGGGTACCTGCCGTTATGGGGTCGTCGGGGTCAATGAGAACGTGCCTCGGGCGACGTTGTCGCGTATGTCGGATATTACTCCTCGGTGCGTAGTCGACCGCACTGACTATAAGCGGATTACGGTGGGATTGGGCAGAGTCGAAGTAGCGTCGAGACGCTTCCTTCATAAACTGCTTGATGGAGGGCAGATTAAGATCGCGGTGGAGATCTACGCTGCGAATACGCAGAAACCTATTCTGAATGACCTGCAGTCTGTTGATTAAGCAGTTATGGGCGAATACGGGACTAGCGTAGGTCATGAACGGAAGCCTTGTATAATGTCAGCTTGTTGCGAAGCGGCATTTTACTGTGCTTGTTAATAAAAGGATAGAGTCGCCCTAGTATAAAGGCGGCTCGGTCGCGGACACGCTTGATGTGAGGACGAAACGTTAGTTTCCTATCTAGGGTGACGCCGAGATATTTCGTTTTCGAAACCCACGGGATGTTTTGGCCGAATAGTTCGATCGGGTGATTCATAGAGTCGAATTCCCTGCTAAAGTACACTGCTGCACTTTTTTCGGGATTGACTTCTATGCGCCACCGACGGAACCATTCGCCCAGTATCGTTACGGCTTTCTGAAGCCGTCTGGCTATTGTCGCACGGGACTTGGCGGATGTAAAGAGAGCCGTGTCATCGGCAAACAGCGATATTTCGACTTTTAAGTCGGAGAATTTGGGGATGTCGTTGGTGTACAACGAGTAGAGCATCGAAGAGAGGACGGCGCCCTGAGGGACGCCGGCTCGTATGGGGTTCGGATAACGCTCCGTTTATACGGTAGCGATAAGAGCGATTCGACAGGAAATCTCGTACAATGAGTACTGGCACAACGGCTTGTAAATCAAGCCGTTGTGCCAGACTTTATCGAAAGCCTTAGCCACATCGAAAAATAGGACGCCTGTACCGCCTTTGGGGGACTTGGTGGCAGTGTAATTTACTATAGCAATGACCGTATTTATAGCTATGGTTCGCCCTTGTCTCGTCCTTGAATGGAGGACAAGGACACGCAAAAGAAGCCTACACAATCGTTGGCAAGCTGCCCAATAGATACCTAATTTCGTTTGTTGGATTAAGGGACGCTATTTATTGAATTATATACTAAGAAAAAATATTATTATTATAATAACAACTCAAACTTACACAGCGCCATCGAGCAGAGCTTGTACTACTTGTGAGTAAACAACAGATAGATATACTTAAACACATTTTTTTGTAAATACAGATACAATACATTCAAACTAATACTAACATATGTTTGAGCCGTGCGAATATTAAATCGAAAGTAAAACAACGAGGACGAACATTAAAGGTATTAACGGTCTTATTTATAAAACTTACGAAGCCCTTGTAAGCCCACAATAGCAGTGCTATTAAGGCTTTATAAAAATCTCTATTCATCTTTAATTTTATTATAGCTAGAAATTGTAACTAACAGTTTGTTATTTAAGACAAATAACGATTTACAACTCAGAGGGACAGAAATTTCACCCTCTTTGCTATTCTGTTGTAGTCTATATCAATAAACTAGCTACTCGCCCGGCTTCGCACGGGTGTATGTTTTATACCTTCCTCTACATATTATATATATATCTACCTTCCTCTTGATCACTCGTATCTATTAAAAGCACTGCTTCAAAATCCGTTGCGTAGTTTTAAAGATTTAAACATACATAGGGACAGATGGCGATAGCGACTATGTTTTATACTATGTAATGGTGATGATGATTACAAGTAATTATATTACAATAAAAAATCAACGACAATAACACATAATTTATCATTCATATAATGTTATTTTGGAATTCCTTGCAGTAGAGGTGGTCAATATAAACCTATGCATGATACATGAATTAGCATCAACATCGTGTTAGCACAGATAAAATAATGTAGTATTTTAGTCTTACTTTTGAAGATACGGCAATTACGAACACAAGGTTCAATCATTATCATTATCAACCGACTCTTAAGCTCTCAATTCGACTACCCCTTATTACAGGCAATGCTGAACGAATTTCAACAATAAGATATAATTGATAGCGATTAAGTCCCTAATTGTCGCTATACTAAAGATGTCAAATTTAAATTTCCCTATAATTTTACATAGAAGTCGGTTTAATATTTAAAGCTAACCTAAAAATATTGATTTAAACAATTAACTACATCGAATTAAATTAATGTGGGAACTTAAACTCTACTTCATAATAGTCATAATTAAACGGATTTAGCAATTACTAAACCCACTTGAGTGGTGTGGTGGCACCACAGCAGTACTTCTGACGCCTGACAAAACTGTCGTCATCTTGGTCAATATTGGCTAGGATATCATTGTCATCACTATTTTTATTTTATGATCGATGCAGATATTTCTAGTGCTATTTTTTAAATGAATTGAAATTCAATGGAATTTATATGCGTTTTGTACAGTTAGATGTTATTGTTTCATGATATTTATATTTTGTTCCATGATAGTAGCAGACAAAATAGAAAAAAAATTTTGCTCTATGAATTTAGTAATACATACTGGTCGTACACTCGTAATGCAGCATTCCTAATATGTTAATTATGTAAACAACCGTGCATAATGAACGTGTCTGCTTGTTACCTTTACAACTAAACAACTGAACATGCGACCGTAATAATGACGTTTTTTCTCAAAAATTCTGATCTGAATCTGAAGAGAGTGAAATGAGAAACACAAGTTTGTAGAAACGAAATAGATAACAGGTAGTAAACAATAAAAGAACGAGCTCGGTAAAAAATAAATAGGAAGTCGCATCTATTATCTTATGTGTATTATTTGCGTTCTCTATATTTAGAATCGCATATAATTATGCGCCAATACTTGTAGGTAAACGGTAGATGCCACCTTTACTATCACAATTATTAATGCATGAACTAACAAGGTTATTAGGTTGTTGATATTACCACTGTGGTTCCATATCAGAAATGTATGAACTCTGAACTCACTAAGTATTATATGGTTATGCGTTTGACTATATCCACTTATAACTTTAAGTAGATACTTGATGACTCTACAAGTAACGTTATTATTTCTAAGCACCTATACTATTCTAATGGTTTATGTCTTATTCTTTATTCATAACCTATGTATTTGTTTCTCGCGCTATGGTCCTTTTTTTAAATAAGCTTGTATCTCCTCCCTTGTGTGGCATGTCCTGGAGATACAATCTATTATCATGTCAAATATTTAAATCCATTCTGCAACTAGTGAAAAAGGACAGAACTCGAAATTTAACAATTACCTACCTACTTTTATTTAGCAGCTTAAATTGTAAAACTATTAGTATATATTTCTCTTGTAGATCAGTCTGACGTGTAATCTTGCTGTCTTGTTATATAAAGTCTTAAATAAAATAAAAAAATTAAATTGTCTTCTAAAAGAAAATAAATACTAAGTTTACTCCCTTGTTGTCTAGCTATATAAGTACTAACTTTGTCAGTTCAAGTAGTAATAATTTAATTAAATTAAGATCTATTGGAACAAAATCTTAATTAAATTAATAATGATTTCACTAACATGCTAATATTAACACTTACCCATTAATAAATACCTAGTACCTAATGCTACAACATAGGTACGTCGAAAAGGGCAATAACCTCCCTTGTGTCCTACAAGAAGGCAGATTAACGTAACCCGGGCAATAAAAAATAAACATTAGTGACATTTGGGGCCGCCTTCGTCCCTTATGAACAATAATTTTTATTATTATTCCTAGGGGACAAAGAAATCAACCACTTTCGTAGGAAAGGCCGTGACTCAACTAGTAACACTCTTAATAACACCCATTTCATATTGCTAGCTTTACTTTGTAAAAATAAATTAATTCAGTATGAGTATTTTCATTTATGTGTATTATATATCCTGGATAAATTTTATGAGTGCGAAAGTGAGTTTTTTGTAGGTCTATCATGATAAACTGTGGATCACAATCAAACGAGATACCTACTCGACGGTCATAGAGTACGTTTTCTCTGTACAAACTTAAAGGGTGAGGATGGCATAATTTTTATATGAAACTTTTTATCGCGTTGGTCGATTTGCTCGAATACTGCAGAATTATTATTTTGTTTTATTTTTTCTACTTACTATTATAAGGGGGCGAAATAACAATATAATGATGATATAGAGAATGCCAAGGTGCGGCTAAAAGCTATTATTATAGACATATATCTAATAATATTGGATATTGGAATTCGAACCATCTAATTCCAATATCCAATTCAGATTATAGTGCCATCAAGCCTCAATTTAGCTGTACCTTCTTGTATTGTGATTTCTAGACTTTTTTATAGAAATTGTTTTGTGGGGTCGAACCCACTACCATGGGAAGATGAAGCAGTATAACTACACGATCAAGACCGTAATAAAGAATATGCATTAGTTATGTTTTGGGGTTTTTCATAACCCATTTCAAATTAAAAAAAGAATTAGCAATTATTATTGTAGCATTAGTACTATATACCTTATCAAATAAATGTATGATTATATAAATACTGAAATGGCTATTTTGTGTGAAAGTTGCTACCTTCGATATTTACCACACTTCTAATAGAAACCAGAACAGACACTTTCGTTTTAGTTGCTATAAAAAGGATTTGCTCTAAGTTAACCCTTTTTGTTACAGCACTCAACACATGTCGAACAAACTTTCAAGTAGCTAAAAACGCAACTACCATATCAATCAGTCATCTAAAGTGTTCCTGGCGGACCACAGCTGCCGGTGGCGCCCAGTCGTCCCGAGTACTATACACCATGTTACGTGATATGCACCGCCGAGACGCACTCTGACTGCGACACGCCCGCGCCCGCATCACTACGCCTCCGGCCGGCGCAGACGGTAACGGCTTCGTCTTGCCAAGTTTCAATTTCATCTGCGCTCTCACTTCGTAGTCGCACGTCTCGTGTTCAACACGCCTCCGTGCGAGACGTCGAGTGATGTGACCGACCTATAACTGGCCAACGACAAACAATTCGAAAATCAAATGTGATTAGCATTTGACATGACGCGTGTCTACATATAAATACTGTGAAAGTAAAAATAATTGAGTGACAGACAGTGTAGTGAAACCAGTGCAATATGACATCGCGATCTAAGGAAAAGGTCGCTGCTGCATTCAGGAAGCTTTTCCGTTCCCCGGAGAAGCTCGATAACGATGGTGCCGGTCCCAGTGGCTCACCAGCCAGACGAGGATTACTGCGTCGACATAGGTATGTATATTTATTTATTTATAAATGATAATCAAATTGTACCTAATTAATCCCGGTCCTCTGCTCTCAGGTAACTAATATACCTATAAAGGACGATATTAGGTTACTTCTGTCATAGTCGCAATTTCATGACGAATTACAATATTTATCTTAAGGAGGAACGCGTAGAAGTAGATCTGACAGGATATCCCAATGTATAAATATTTAATGGTATCATAATTAATATTGCTTATATTTACTATTACAATTCAAATAGTTTGTAAATACTCGCAGTTATATGAGGAAACGCAAAATATCTTCACTGACTAAACAGCAATACGAGGTGTCGCAACGGATGTTTTAGAAGCGAACTGTCACGTACACCACTTCACTCATGTCTGGTATACATTACTAATGAATAATTTATAATATTGGTACCCAAAGTGAAAAAATATACAAATTCAGTATTTATAAAACCGACAAAATTAGAATACCAACAGAGTAATGGAAGAATAACTAAACATTAAAGATTATCCACAGAAATGGAAATCACTATTGTTGTTTTGCATGAATTGTTTTATTTAATAAATCTACTTTATAACAGCAATGGCTATCTTGCAGTAGCAGTAAAGTACTGCATTAAATAATATAGCGTCATATATTTCTTACATCTAATACACCTAAACTATACTGTAGTATCCTAATAAATAATAAACTTAAAGGGTAATGTTGTAAATTGAAGTCCGTCAGTTAATTCATGTATATAATACCTTTACTTATAAGTAATGAATGGAAAACTTTAAAGAAATGTCAAAATAGATGATGATCGTTATGGTGGATAACTCTCTCTAATTACTCTATGTTCTTATACATCACAATAGAATATAAATTGGTAATGGCGAAATAGTTCTTAGAGTTTATTAGATATTACATATGTCAACATTGGATAATCCAAAGTTCATTCTCCCAGGAAGCAATACCTACTTCGTCACTGTTAATAGAAAAGATTTCTAAACATAAACTATCAACTGGGTAGGTATATCAAAAGTCAATTTTTATTGTTAATACAAAGATAGTACAGTCCGTAGTACATCCTCATTGGTCTATAAATGATACGTTTTAGTGCATGATCATAGACCCATTCAACTTTACATACCAAATTGCATCTCATAGGTACATAGGCACCTACAGAAAGTGTTCTTATTGGTTCCAGATATTACTACATTTTTGCTTGTCATATAATTTCATCAGTGTCAGTATCAGTACCAGTGTCAGGTCATTTCATTATAAAGGAAAGCTACCACTTTTCAAAAGTTATGCGTTTATTTATGTATGTCATCCATTTGTATGCTTCATCAATGTCTTGTTTAATACTATGAAAAATTCTTGCATATTTAATAGGTCGTTACGTTGTGACTATTTCATTAATTACAATTTTATTCGTTGACCTTTATATTAAATAGAATATTAACACTTAAATATTTAATTCTAATTTTATGAAAATATTAATTACGTTGACTACAGTATAACATTGTAAAAGCAAAATTGTGTATTATTTATCTACCATAATTTAGTGAATAAATATTGGAGGTAACATTATATCATTCAAATACCACGCGAGCGATGGAACAAATACCATGTTGGCTACAATTATTCAATCATAAACAATTAATTCACTATTCAATCCGTAACTAAGTATTAATTAATATATACCAGGTGGTCGATCCGGTTTTAGGTGTTATTTACTTCAATATCGTGATAAAATTATGACGTACGTTCATAGATACAAATGGAGGTTTTAATAATTGGTAATTTTAAGATCAAGGCTGTGAGTACGCCAGCTGAATCACGCACACCCGTATTCACAATACTACTGCTATTAAGGTCAATATTAATTATCGTGTATACGGTACCTTACCTATATATAGGTACCAAATAGAATCTGTTCATTGCCTAATAAAATGTGTCAATGTCGCTTATAACTTGGCTAGCCTTACGGCTGAATATGTGATGTTTATATAAATAAATATACCTTAACAATTCTTATTCCTAAATAAAGTAGTTAGAAGCCTTGCAAGGATTACACTTTCTCTAAGTATATATGAAACTAATTTGGTTGAGGTTGGCCTACCGTCTTCTAAATTAATTTGTAAACTTTTTCTCAAAAAATGAGATACAATGATTTTTCGTATATGATCAGAGTTAAACTTACTGTCAGTGTAGTAAACCACAGGGCCACGACGCCCTAATTATGGAAATAATAAATAATTCATTATTATAAATATATATTGCTATAATGATTGAAATTTTATAAACTCAAGAACATCTGAGGATCTGAAAAACATTCCCGGTGTTATAAATAATTATTCGTACTGTCCTATAAACCTTTGCGTTCTACTTTAAACGAATTTTGCAGAAACGTAGCGATGAACATTCCGTGAGTGCTTCAAGGAAGTGGGAAATTGGAGCTGCGTCGTTACGTGCCTTATATAGAGACAAAGACATTGTTTACTTACGCAAAATTATGATCATTGTATCGTCCTAACACGCAGTGTCTATAAATGACGAGATATCTACTAGGAATATTGCAGCTGTACAACAAAAACACATGTAAATAATCAACTGTATTCGGTTACAGTTATTTATGTATTAATAATAACTATTTAATGAATAACAATAGTTAATATATGTAAACATGTCTAACATTAGCGATTGAATATATAAGTTAAATTATAAATAGATGCTTTGTTTATAATATTATATAACTAGTTGTCCCGGCAATCATTGTTTTGCCATATAAATGTAACTAGTAATATTTAAGGACAACCCTTAACACTTAGGGGTATAAAAAATGGATAGTATCCGATTCTCTGAACTACTGAATATTCATATAAAATTTTATAAAAATCGGTCAAGTCTTTTCGGAGTAGGTATGGTAACGAACATTGTGACACGACAATTTTATATATGTATAAGATGTTCAATGCTTACCATAATTTAATAATTGACATAATTACCGTAATTATCCAATTAGGTATATGAGTTTGTATTTGCAAAAGCATAGTCAATATGCATTCTATATTCCTACTGTTATATTTTATATATAACAAATGTCATTTAGGTTGTGTTCTCATTGATAAAAGCTTCCTGACCTTTTGAAGCTGTACCAGAAATAGGTCAATTAACTTGTGCCATGATAACTAGTTAGGTATATGGCTGCTCATTAATTTTTGATTTAATAGTTAATCCAATGTAAACAATTATATAATAAATATTATGAAGCCCATCTATTTTCCCTATTCTCGTACCCATTTGTGACAAACGGGTCGACAACAATAGTTTAAAAGGATGTTTTGTATATTATTGTAATTAAATATTCCATAAACTTCCGATTAAATTGAAACTAACTGCCTCAATTTATAATAAGTAGATATGTTTTTTATTATTAACTAGTGGTAACCGCGACTTCGTTTGCGTGTACATTTATAGGCGCCATCTAACAACGATAATTAATACTTATAACAATACATACAGTCATATACCAATAAAGTTAAGCATTATTATAAAGTATCTAAGTAATACTTGAATAATAACTTGATTAACAATAGTAAATGTCGTATTTAAATAAACACAAATGGAGGGTAAATTTGTAAGATTTTGTTACTATAATATATTATTGACCCTCGCTTTTCAACATTTTCTGTAAAAATAACAGCTTAATGTTTACGTGAAACCAGAAACAGAAAATAGACAGTTTTCGTTCGTCGTGATATTATATGCAAAAACTTAACAAAAAATATAGATAAAGAAGATTATTTTTCTATTATATTTGAATTTCATCGTTGTTTGCATAATAATTCCAATGTAAATTGATCGGGATTGATTTTAATACATGTATGAAAATCTACTACAAATGGTAATTAGATTACCATTTGTAGTAGGTTTTCGTATCGTAATCATAGTTATCGTATTCTTCTGTGAAATACGTCACTGGTAGTCATACTTTTTTTAATGGATGAATATGCTATTGTGTACTAGCCTACGATTTTCGCTGGGGGGCACCAGTGGATGATGATAGGGTTAGCATGACATTAGGTAACGCATGGATTAAAAGTTATCCACGATTGTTATCCGTTTGGAGGTCGACCTGACCAATATTTGTTAGCAATGAAGTTCCTATTACCAATAATCCCTTCCCTTTCTATACTATTTACATTTTATTTATTTATATATATTTATATTTCTATTTACACAAGTTTGTTAAGTCGGTTTTACATGGCGAAGGCAAAAACAAACAGTAAACAGAAAATAGGAAGTCGCGAAATGTGAGAAGATACTAACCAAATGACCCGATTTTGTAAGTAAGCCGCAATTTACTTGGCAAATGAGCAGTATTCTTTTAAAAATATACACGTAAAAAAAACAGCCAGAAACATTAATAATTAACACAAAACACTCGCTTCCCGCTCCTATTCGGCGCGCTCAATCTCTTGCTAGCTTTAAAGCATCAGTAAAAACTCATTTCTTTTCCCTTTAGTTCTACTTTCCCTTTTCTTATAGTCCCTTTCTTTCCTTCAAACTTTTCATGGATATGTGTATTATTAAGTATATGTACATATGTATTTCTATATATATTTATGTATATTTGCATGTATTATTTATACCCATCTTAGTTGTGTTGTCATTTGTACCACCTACTCTTTTTCTTATATTTTCACTGTCTACCTAAAGGTTGCCTGTAAGAGATTCACGATAAGGCCGCCTTTTGTACTCGTCATTGTTATACATATTTTTATAGTAATTAATATTTTCTGTAACTGGTGCAAAAAAGTGTAAAAATAAATAAATAATAATAAAACAAAAAAAGCGATTTTATTTTTAACGAGCAACTTGCGCTAGCTTACATGGGCCCGATATTAGTTAACGTATAAGAACACCTTCGCAAGTAATGCATTATTTTAGAGAAAATCTTCATAAAATAGGTTCCCGTGTTAACTTTAAAAAATGAGTCCGAGATCTTTGTTTAGAACTTTTAAAGGTGAACAATTTCGTCATACCTATTTTTGCGTATTTTTTGAATCGGAAACACTCAAAATGAATATTTTGCCATATTATTCATTGCTTTTTCGTTCCTATTTGAATTTGGTCGTAGCGTAATATTATATAGCTTATAGGACTCCAGGATAATATACTTTTTTAACAGTGCAAGAATTAGAGATATTGGTTGCATTGTGTGGATATGCTGACATAGTAATTGCCTATCGATTAGGCCATCAGTCTGAATCCCCTCCTCTCAGGGTATACTATTAGGTAATACATGCCGGATTAACACAGCATTATCTATCCAACCATAAAAAATATATACCTTATGGAAAAACTAAAGAAACTTTTTATCCGGTTTAAAAACAAACAGTAAATAATTGCAGCTATAAATTTCTCAGTGCAACTAAACCGGTCTTTGTTTCTGTTTCACCTGCAGAGTTGACATAGTTGAATCGCGGTCAATTTTTTATTGTGGTAATAGGTTATGGTAGCCGTCGATTTAAATAGTCACAGACAAGAGTTGCACAAGTTTTGAGTTTGTAGTACTAGTAGTATTATCATTGATAAGACATTTCACATTAAGGTCAATTCAATGTATGTATGCGTGGCTAATGGATTGGAAGCTGTTTATGTAATCTATTTTGCATAAATCTCCTGCAAGTCAACGACCCACCGGAACGTTTTACACCCGTCGTGTTGCCGTCTTAGTTTGGATACAATCCAACCGCAAGATTTGTAATAAGCAAACATTATTTACGACCTATTTTCGCTCGTGGATGAACGAATTAATTACCCACGTCTCTGCTGACTACCACTTACCTACTCCATTCATATTTATGTCAGGAAATGGCACAGTATGCCCAATCCAAAATTGTTTTGCGAAGACAATGTGGAGATTAATGTAGGTTACCTACTACTCATTGCTTATTATAAATTGAAGTAGGTACAGCATAGAAATGTGACACATTGTATACCCAACTATACCTATAAAATGTACTACAGGTTAATTAATTTAGATACTTACGTTTCTGTAGACAATTTTCACATACAGCGCCATCTAGGCTCAAGCTAAACAGGAGCTTTTGTTGTGGGGACTAGACAACTAATAGATATACTTATATACATTCTTTGTAAAGATATATGTAATTTATAGGCCACCCAGGCCGATATAAGCAATCAAAACCGCGATGGAAATAAAGCGTTATTCTAAACTGATAGACCAGCGAAGTCGACATTTGAAGGAACAACTTGAAATATTATGATAATTATAGTTTTTTTTTTTTATTTTAAGAGAGAGAAAGTATCGAAGTCATTAATTTCTTCAAGTCTACATAAGACTATAATGTAAAATGTAATATAAATTTATTACTTTATTATTGTTAATATCTATCTTCATAAATTGTGATTATTAACTATTTACGCGAGCGATGAAGTGCAATATTGTGTCCAATATCTAATGCTTTCTAGAATTAATCGACTTCATTTTTATTGCAGTCCATTTATGTAATGAACATTATTTAACAAATTCTGAAATTATATATGCAAATTATATTAGGTAATATTGAAAAGTATTACCTTTAGTCTTAACTATATATTCTATATATAACTAAACCTATATTCCGTTGCAATGCCCGCATGAAATAAAGCCCATTTTAACTAGCTGATAATTTTGCTATCCATAGATAAAAATATTTTTAAAAACCCTTAATTATTTCTTAACTTTATCCGTCACAAACAAACGTACCTACATACAAACAAACAAAAGAGAATTTTTTTTTTATTTATAATTATAATACAGGTGTCGTTACATATATTTTTAAATATTATATAATTTGATGAGGATATTTTAGGTAATCGTGTTGAAATCTCTGTAAATGAAGTAGACTAAGGACCATTATATACCCAGAGCGCACAATATTATTATGTGTTTAAAATTCAAATGGTGGAAACGACCTTACTTACTTAAGTACAACGCATTCTGAATGCATAAGTAGCTGTTATAGCCCTTTATGTTTGCAATGTATATTTTATCTTGTTTGCAACAAAGGGCTAATAAATACGTAGAAATAACAGTAGATATGTACCAACCCATTTAATTAATTTAGCATCAAAGTAACAAACATTATAATTACACAATTGTAATAGTTTGAACAAGTGGTGCTTCCTTGTATTGTGGGCTAGATGATAAGATAACCGATAAATAAATATACTAGGAAGGAAAAATTATGAACTGTACTGCAATGAAACCGAGTGTATTCTAAGTTTCGAGAATACTAGCTATGCCCGCGGTTACTGCCGCGTTAAATTTATACTATATATTAATTTAATACGATTTCACAGCTATATTACTGTAAAGTGTAAACAAAATCCGTTCAGTAGTTTTTACGTTAAAGAGCAACATATCCATCCATCTATCCATACTCTTTCGTGTTTATAATATTAGTAAGATTGTATCCTAGTAAGTGTCTGTAAATCTGTAAACGTGAATAATGAATATGATAGGTGATATTCATTATTCACGTCTACAATATCGACGGAGATCTCATTGTTTGACATCCATTAGGTGAATATAAAAATATTCGAATGCTGAAACTGGACGTTGAAACTGGTTGTTTGGAATGCAGTTATGCGATTCCCACGTTAAGCGAACGTATAAGCATTTGTGACTCAGTTGTCATTACATTATATACATTATCGACACGGCTGGTCCTCTTAATGTCAGTAATGAGTGAAATATCGAATGCAATGACTAAAGTAAAAGTCATTTGACAAATGTAGAGTAACACGCACAGTCATTTCTGAATACCCAAAGTCCGTTTTAATGTACCTTCGAGTTGCCTTCATGTATACAGCAAAAATAGATAGATATAAAAGTAAATTGCTTAAATTATTGAAACAATACTTTTTATATAGTCTATCTTATGTCACCATAAGATGTAATTTCACTACATAGTCTCACCCCAAAATCGAAACACAACTTAAAGTACATAGCAACTGAATTTGCTCCGACTGAGGGTAGACGAGTTTTTAAAGTTTTACAAGTTCTTTATGTTTACACCCTCTATTTACAGAGATGGCGTGAGCCCAGCCGAAGCAGCAGCAAGTTTGCCATCCAGCCCTGGTGCCACAGCGATGGTGAAGAAGAAGGCTGCCGGAGCCAACGAGGTTCGCGAACGTGCTGCGGCAGTCCGCACGCGCAGACTCATGAAAGAGCTCAAAGAAATACAGCGATTGCAAGACAGCAGGCCTGAGCCTATATTTACGGTACGTACATTTTTTACATACGTGACAAACATATTATATATACCTACATATTGAAAATATCTGTGACACAATAGAATGCTCTTTGTTTTTCTTAAATTCCTCATCTAATTTGATTTCAGTTGATGTAGATGGTTGATTATTTTATAATGTATTTATAAAACAATAAATAAATAGGTACGTCCATTTTTATATTTGGTATGGTCTTTTGTAGTCTCCACCTTACAATAAGGAGGTTTACCTTGTAGAGATGCTATCATGCTGGGAATACCTAAGTATGAGGGCGTAGGATAATGTTTTATAAGTATACCTAAGTATTACTTTTCTTACTTTCAGGTGGAATTAGTAAATGATAATCTATTCGAGTGGCATGTGAGACTACACCAGATAGACCCCGAGAGTGAGCTAGCAGGAGATCTACGTGAACTGCATATATCACACATTCTACTGCACCTCATTTTTCCAGAGAACTTCCCCTTCGCTCCACCTTTTATGCGGGTCATTGAACCCAGGATAGAAAAGGGCTTCGTAATGGAAGGTAAACACTTATATAATTCTGTCATCAGCGCCATCTAGTTTATAAATGTGATAAACGACAAAATGTATTTAAAATTAACTAATATCATATTTCAGCGCGGCTCATCGAGGTTACTTGTGACCCGAGAGATGGTAGCTACTTTGCCCAAAGGCTAAGTATGGCCATTCAAAAAGGCAACGCTGCCAGTATCTTAGGTACGATGCGATGCCTCGATGTGTCGCATTGGATTACAATGATTGTTTGTATTAATGTATAATGTTAACAATTAATTATTACTGTTAAGTGTCTGAAATAAACATCATTTGTTTCTATAAAAAAGTGAATAAATAAATAGTAAAGATTAAATATAATTACAAATGTGATATAAAATGTATCTTCTAGAACAATGTTATAATTATGTTTATTTTTTAAAATTTTAGGAAAATTGTCTTGCCTATTATATACAACTACGATATTGTTTGATCAGTTCCTTTCCATAACAGCCCTCGAAATGTGAAGGGAAGAAGGAATAAATTAAAATGAAGTTTAGAGTTTATTTTTTTTGTTTTTTAGCATTTACGTATCTAGAGTAAGAAACGTTTTTCCAGAAGATTAATAGATATGTAAGAAACCTTACATCTTAGTCCTTTGGAATGCCAACGCATGATGCACCACCGGCGTCATGTCCCTGTTGCTGGTACCTATAAACAACGGTTACCGCTCACCACCTGGTAACCCATAAGCTTGTTTAGTATTCTGGACACAATACAACTAAATTATTCGGTTGGCATCTATGAATTTCATATATGGAGTATCCAAATTGGTCGAATTTATCATATTGAAGATATGAATTTCCAAATATTTGTTAATAATATTTAGGTAGGCACTCATAACTTGGTAACCAATGAAAACAACAAAACTAAATGGTTGAATAAAATTGTGATATTCGTAAAATATTAACCATAATGCTATATTATCGAAATGTACCTACTGTATGTAGCTACAAAATGTATTCTATTCATCTTCAGGGGGAGCTATCTGTATGGAATTGCTGACACCTCGCGGCTGGGCGTCAGCATATACAGTAGAAGCCGTAGTGATGCAGTTCGCCGCGTCGGTGGTGAAGGGCCAGGGTCGAGTGGCGCGGGCACCGCCGAGACCTTCGCGCGAGTTCTCCCGCCGACGAGCGGAGGAAGCATTCCGCTCCCTTGTGAAGACACACGACAAATATGGTTGGGTCACACCATCCCTGTCTGATGGTTGAATCGACAAGGTTCGTAAATGTTTAACGTTTTATTGTAATTAATTTCATATCTAATGTACATAACTGTTATATGGGTACCTCTTTTTTTTTTTAGGTAATAAATGAATAATGGAATTGTCTCCCTGCTTGCGGTGACGATAAATACTGGCGGGGCATCTCTGAAGGATGATAGGATGAGATGTTAACTAGGTATTAACCACGATGGTTACCAGGGGAGATCGCGTGGTTAATCCAACATTGTTAGCAATAGCGTTACTATTTTACATTACTAAGAATTACTTCCTCTTTGGTGGGTACCTAGTTGAATAGTTTAAATAGGCCAATTTGAATAAGGCCGTCTCATAACAAAAGAAATATTTAATGTTTATTTGACTGTAGATGACTAGATTAGATTTAGCAGTGAAATTGCACATAATAGATAGGATATAGTTATAGATAGATATATTCATGTCTACAGACGACCCTTACCGCATCTTAGTTCTAGTTCATTTCCTACGACTAGCTAATAAAACTTATCATTATCATCGAACATCGAAACAAATTTTTATGTTCTTACTTTGCCAGTCACAAAACCTACAACTGACTTATGTATCTATTGAATAGGATGAATCCCAAACCACTTAAATACCTATTATTATATTAATATTAGTACTTATAATAAATATCTACTAAATATATTTGTCTTATTTTCAGATTGCGCTGGTCAACTGTACCTAATGCAGAATTGATCTCTTTTAGTTCTTATTTTAGCAGTAATCACCTAGTGCAAATTTTTACAAATGCTCTGCTGTGTAATTAAATAGTTCAATTTTTAATAAGTGGATTAAAAATATTAACAAATGTAGTTACATTATAATTACCATGGATACTATAAAATTATTTAAAAAAATACTTTTTTATCACAGAAATTGTAAAATATACATAATAGAAGTCTTAAAGTGTCTGTACTTGCTATTTTCCATTCGTCAATTTAAATATCCCCTCTATCTACCAATGTAAATCACAAAAAGGTCCTAGTCTGCAAAATGTGTCATAAATGTAATAAAATTTATGATATCTACTCCATTATTGATATTTAATTTATATCATTATATATTTATATATTACCTACTTACAGTGTTGATCATTGTAATAATTCGATCGATCGAAGTTTAAATCAGAATAATGTACCTATATGCCAAAACTATAATCTAGCAGAGTATATCTATATATTATTTGTATATCACACAAATTTTAAATACCTTATGGTAAATTCTACTCATTGTAAATATTGTGCCAAACATTTTAATGCTCATTTCTTGTAAAGGTCTTGAACTTTAATATCTGTTATTGAATAGGAATTTATGATTTTAATATTATTATATTAATAATATTGACATTGATGCCAATTCTGACTCCTGTATCTGTACTGATAGTTTTCTTTTTTACATTTTTTACTATTATAAAATAATTATCGATCTTAGGCACTTTAATTCTTCACGTCAGGTGTTTTAATGTTTAAAAACCTTTAATTCTCCATACTACTTAATGTATGTGTAAGTTCATATTTTATAAAATGCTAAAGTGGATATGATATCCAAAGACATAAAAACAAAAAGTGGAAAAGAAGAATAGGCAACGATGTCAACATAAGGTGTTCACCACGTGCGATCATATAACGGTGTCTAGATTAAATATGTGCATTTATATAGAACATCACTAAATGCCATTTAAATGTTTAAACAAGTCATATAAATTAGAATTATATAGTGTTTACTTCATATTTACAAATGACCTCAGAAATTTTCACAAGAGAACACTTCTCAAAAAATGTTTTAAAAGGAAATGTTTCCGTCCCAAAGTCATTTAAATATTCTTTTATAATATAAGTAAATTTAGTAGTATGTATGTATTCTGAATCCACCGATCAATAGTCGGTAAACAAAATTATTTTTTTATTCTCATATGAGAAATACGGTTAATTTGTTTTAACACTACAGAAAATGATGGCGTTTATTTTTACGCTGTAGGTCATCGCGTTAAAGTGTGACACAGAATAGATTTAGTAATACTTTAGTAGGTATACCTACCTACTTGGTGAACTTAAGACACTAACTTTAGATATACCTTGTGCATTTTATGCTACACACGGCGTGCTTTGTGTAATTATTGTAGTAATGTCAAATTAATTAAAATCAAATGCGTTTCCATGAGTAGGTAAATGCTCAAATTAGTAGATAAATTCTCCTTAATAGGTATGTGAGACGAAAGGCTTGTGGTAAAATAAATTTATTGTGAAAATTAGATAAATTATTATTATGTACTACTTTATTAAATTGATGTTGATACTTTGTTCGGTGTACCAAAGATTTATTTTTATGTAAATTTCATTCAAGTGCAAGATGTGTATTGAAATCTGGATTTATATATGTACAATGTTATTATAGGTGTAATAAATAATACCTACATGCTCCGACCTCATTTTAATTATTCCAATTCCTCTTGCAGTTTGTGTGACGTTATCGTCATTAAAATTGGGGAAACAGACATACAAATAAAAAACATATGTAAGTCGGTACATCACATTATTTGATCGCGCGATAGTTTCTTAGGAATTTATGGGTATAAATTCCTCGGAACCATGACCATGGTGGTTTGATGGTTTAATTTTAAGTATCTACCAAGTGGATATACATACTAAACTGTCTCTCCTGACAAGATGTTCAGTACATTTTCAGGACTAAACAGCTGAAAGAATCCTAATTACATTTCACATAAATACAAATAAGAGAATTATGGAGTACCTACCTATACATTCTTTTTCTAATTTCAATTAAATCCTTAAAAATCTTACTATGATTTTGAAATTTGTAAGACAATAAATTTTACAGAACATTAGGTCACATACATCGCCTTTATGAATCACATCACAATAATTTTGTTCAAACAAAATCAAAATTAAAAATGCTATATAAAATTGTATTGGATTGCACAGTTAAGAAATATAAAAATAGTTCTTAATTGTGGAATCCAATATAATTGGGATTGTGACCAAAGGACAGATCCTGTATAGGACTATGACAATATTTCAGGTATGCTATAAATTATAAAGCATGGATTTTGAGAAGACTTGGATTTACTGGAACCCAATTACTAATCAGATATAGAGATAATGATTCTGCTAGGAATCACACACTACTTGCGACATAACTTTTACCACATCTATTCGTAGACTGATTGCAGGATGGATACAGAAAAAAATTATAAATAAAGTTTTAAATATCATTTAAGAATTATAAAAAAGACAGTTATTTCCATTTGTCTACAATTTGAATTAGAATTTGAATAAAAACCAGGTTTAAACTAAGAAGTCTGTTGGTTTGATTATTCAATTTGTTACAAGTTTTTATGAGTTTAAACACTTGTCATGTTGTTTGTCTGTGTATCTAATACTACAGAAACTTAATCCCTTTGACTAAGACTACTTTGAATTCCCAAAAGGTAGACAGTTCAAATCTTCCTAGTCACAAAAAGTTAATTATTTCAATGTTTTATTATTTATCATGCATGGCTGCTTTCCAAAGGATTGAACAATTAAGAGTAAAATAAAAATTAAGTATCACATACAAAATTTAAGTCTCAAACTATTAGTAACAGTTTACCTTTTCACAAATAAAGGTCTGAACAGATTTTTAAAAAATTATAATGTATATAGATGGATATAGATCATCTTCTATCTCAAAGTACGTACAAAATAAAAAAGTACTAAAGTATGTTATGTTGACTTTATACAAGAGAAAATAAAATTATAATTATAAATATTAAATGGAAATTATCACAACAGCAGATCATTCTCCCCCTCGTAGTGCTAACACCAAGTGAAGTACAGAACCGCCTTGCACTTTGTAATCTTGTGCAGTCTTTTCATCATTCCTGCAATATAAACCAATTGTTTCATAGTTTGCTTATATTAAACAGAAGGATACTCTCACACTGTGACATAATCAAAAACTATATAAGATTTACTGACCCTATTTATGAAACAATATTTTAAAATTTCAGTATTATCCTACGTTATGAGGTGGTGGAATATCTATTAAATTCTGTTTGTACATAATTTAGTATACAAGTATAATATACAATATTTTAGTACATACTTGTATAAAGTATAATATTCTTGAAATGAAATTTCTTTATAAAGAATATAACAAATTTTGAGCAAATTCTCATTAGATAGTTTATCAGTTGTAAAATAAAAACACTACAATTTATTGAAATACTTACAGGTGTTGTTATAAATGAGTGCCGCAAACAACAAAAAAAATTTGAAAACTTACATCTGTTTTCCTGAAAATATTAGACGTTGCTGTTGGGGCGGTATGCCTTCTTTTTCTTCTACTCTCTCTTTAATCCTCTCCACTTTGTCCGTAGGCTCTATGTCTATCTCAATCTCCTTCCCTGTGAGCGTCTGAAATTCAAGAATGTAGGTTATAATAAAATATAACAAAAACAAAATAGTATGGGTTAATGACAGAAACAAACTTACCTTAACTTTAATCAGCATTTTGAAATGTGATACTAATAATAAAAATGCCTAATGATTTATATAAATAAACAAATTTTACAGTTTAATATTTAAAGGTTTAATTTTTTTATGCAGACTGATATTATAATCTATCTAGTCATTCAATTTCAGTTTCACAATTCACATTGTTTGACAAAAAATTGACATTGACAATAAAGTTATTACTGACACTGAGTAAGTTATCACAACGCTTTTATTGACGCACAAATTGCACAATTTATACAAAAATTACAAGGATTTCCACTCTGGAGTTGATACTAGGGCAGAGGCGCTGCCCTGATACCCCAACCTCTACCCTCCTAAATGGGTGCGGATGACCCCTTTTAGTAGTTTTGTAAGAAAATCTTTACGGCTTATAGGCTCTATGGCCACAGAACGTTCTATTAGTTTTACAGCTTTCACTGAAACTGACTGAAGATTGACTGAATGATGATTCATTACATGAATGACTTATATCTGATCTGATGTTCTGTCTTCTGCTTCTGTTCTGTACCCTTGCTAATATATAAACCAAACTCTTTAGAGTATTATGTTCCTTGATATAAACAAATACAACAAATCAGAATATATTTGTTATATTTCTTAATTTTGATTATATAAGTTATTTTATCTTAATATATTTTGAAAAACAAATTTCATGTAATAAATAGAATATATTTGCATATTTAGTTTTCAGTTTAATTTCATATTATCATAAATGGTTATACATTAAAAAAATTTCAGGTTACTTATTTAACTTTTATTCAGTCAGTTATGATGACTGTTGATAATATATTCGAAAACTTAAATAAATTAACTCATGAAGGTGAGTAACTGGATATACATTTATATAACCAAGCCTACGGTCTTCTTGTTTTACCTATCTATTCACAAACATTATTGTATTTTTATCGGGATTATAAATATAATATATGTGATTAGAATTGTTAGAAGTAGAAGCACGTCCAATAATTCAAATGGACGTGAGGCAACATCCAATCCTTTTCATTATTAAAACAAGCTATGTGATTATTGTACAGTGGGTACTAGTGTAATCTGTGATTAAAATAAAATCCATATTGAACCGTACGACAATATTTAATATTATGTTTAGTATAATATTGCCTCAGCAATTTATATTTTCAGTATTTAAAGTTATATTTTTTTTATATAAACTTAAATTCCTAAGTATTTAATAATTTATTTTGTGTTTCAAACAATTTAGATGGACAACGAGAATATTTGGCTGTTTTATTTACTCATGTAAATGAAGAGACTAATGGAATTATTGACAACCAAAAAAACAGCTATGATCGTCAAAGAGTATTCATTCAAAAAATTATGAAGGAAATTGATGACTTATCAAAAGAAGTCATTAGAGATGATACCATACTTATTAGTGTCAAAAACCAAAAATTGCTGAGGACATCTTATCAATTAGTAACATCCCTAGGTATTACACCAAGCTTAATACCAGGTTTGGGCATCAACTTGTCAAAACGATGCACATCTTCAACAATGTTGCCTAGACTACTGTTAAATGATGAGCAAAAATATGAAATGTTGACAGAGTGTGCAAATTTCTTTTCGAGAAGTTATAAAATACCTGTTTTAAAGAGTATTATCATATCATTACATTTATCTGACTATTTGGCTGCTTTAATACAGTTGGCCTTTGCTCCTCTGAAGAAACCTGGCACATACACCAACTTTGCAATGACAGAAGATAGATATAAAACTCTCATGATAGACAGGCAAAAATATGTACAAATATATGAACATTTAGTATACAATTGCTTCCAACCAACACTAATGAAAGAATTATTGGTATTGCAAAGTGTAAAAGATCCAGCTCCTCCTACATTTATTAGAAAAATAATAGCAAAAGAAATGAGCAGAAGGCTTTTGGTACCTGGTGGATTGTTAAGTCTAATTAGATGTTTTATTGAAAGCTACAGTATTGATACAGGATTTGAATGGAAAAAAGTTGATATGATTTCAAAAATAGTCACTAGTAAACATGGTTCAGGTACAGAAGAAAACTATTTGGACAATATCTGTAACCAAATAATGCAAATATTGTCTCTGAATAATACTCATTATATAAGGACTGCAACAGCATGTGCTTTGAGTTTGAAACAAAAATACCCAGAATCCATACAAGTAAACATATTAATAAAAGAAATATTCAATGTTTTTGATTATGACTATTTGGTCTCTAAATCTAATTTACCTGGTACTATATTATTATCATCTCAGGAAATTGAACACAAAGTAAATGTTCTGTATGCATCTCTTTGTACAACTAGGCTAGATTGCTCAAGTTCATTGTTACTACCAAATCTTTATGTTCTTTTCTTACTTGGAATTAATAATACTAAAAATGAAGAATTAGCTGTGAAATTAAAAGATATAATATTAAAATCTCTTGAGCAGTTAAATAAAAATGAAATAATATTATTAATCCAGAAATTTTTATTTGGAAAGAATGATGCTTTAATACTTATCGAAGAATATGATGCAGGTCTTGTTTTAAAATATGTGACTTCACAAAAAGAATATCCAAAAGAAGATACAATAATTTATTTTCTAAATATTTTAAAGGCTTCATCTGAAGATAGATTTGTTCAATGTGTATTTGAAATATCTTTGGAGCTACTAATAGAAATAAATTTAAAAAGGCAAACAAAACCTAATCAAGATTTGTTAAGCCTAGAAGATGATGTTATCCTTCTAGATAACATTGATGCAAAGTACTCCATTGTTCTTCAGCTGCTCTCAGAAATATCTACATTACCAAAAATCATTTCATCTTTAAAAACAAATCCAGTTGTAGTATTACACTTTATAGAACATTTTATAGTAGAAAATCAAGATTCTTCAAATGATGAATGTATTACTATTGCATTGATTTTACTAAATACTATATTGTCAAATTCTAACAAAACAAAAGAATTGGACAAAACACTTAATGGATTAATTCCAGTATTAAAAGCTATGTCTGTTAAAACAGCAAGTTATAATAATATTTTGTGTGAAGAAGCAATTTCCTTGCTTACATCTAAAGATGTGATTAAATCTGAAACAGAATTTGGAAAAGCAATGACTGATGTCTTTGATGACCTACTGCCAGTAAGAACTCATGGTGTGATTGCGCTAACTAAATTGATTGAAGCTAATGATCCAGAAACAATTTCAAAGAAATATTATCTATTTTGTCTTTTCCAGGTAAGTAAAGTTAATTTTTAAGTCAGTTTTAAAATGTATTTCACTATATGTATAGGTAACATTTTGATTTGTGTAACTTTCAGGAGTACCTCAAAGACTCTGATTCCTATGTATACTTGTATGCTATCAATGGAATTGCTTCACTTGGCACTTATTGCACTGAAGATGTGTTACATGTTCTGTGTAGAGAGTTCCTTGAGATATCATGTGACAATAATCTTCAAGATAAAGCCAATCAAAATAAAGTTGCGGAGATGAGAATGAAGATTGGAGATATCATAGTAAAAGTAATTAAAAAACTTGGTAAGTTAACTTTAAATTACAAATTAATTATATTATTTGATTCTGTAATCCAGTAGATTTTTAAACACCATACTTATATAAGATTTCACACACCAGATATTAAGGGGAATTTTCTCACTTCCCTCAGTAAATTGTGCAGCACTTTTAAAAGAGTGATGAACCATTTTTTAATAACTCCTCACTTTCATATTTTTCTTGCTTTTGCAGGTGATATGGCAATAGTGTACAAAACATTATTGCTGAACACAGTGCTATGTGGTTGCAGAGATGATGATCCATTAATTAGAACATCTGCACTGTCAAACTTGGCAGAAATTGCTTTAATGTTGCATTACAAAATTGGATCCATTATTTATGAGGTATGTATTTAAAATATAACAAAACAAATAATAAGTCATATATGTGGGATACTTCAGTCTTACCAATTTTGCCGCTAGATAGCTTACTTTGTAAGTTATGTTTCAGTTAAGGCGAAAAATGGCAGTGAAATTACAGGATATGGAGCCATAACGTCTTAGTCCTCTGATAATGGACAATGACAACGCACAAGTATCATGGACATCAAATGATAGTGTGATGTCATTATTTACAAATAAATTTTGAATTATTACGCTACAGCGCTAATTAGACATATTGTAATTCATATTGCTCTAGTCTTTTGCCTAGCCATCACCCTAGCAACCATTTAGGTACTGGAGCACTATAAAGTAATTCTAACTTTCTATTTATCTCGCTCTTTACATAATTTAGTAAGGGCAGATATTAATTGGTCCGAGCTATGTAACTACCTTCTTTGTTGTAGCAAATATATATATTTTGTATTTAGTCCTACAGAGTGAACTCAGAATTATTTATATTTTAGACTTATAATAGTACCTTTTTTTGTAGGTATTACACTGTATTTGGTGTATATTAGAAACCGACAAAGCAGTAGAATGCAGGCGGGCGGCCGTAATGGTAATAGGAAGCTTACTCAAAGGACTAGGTAAAGAAGTATTGATAGAACTCAAAGAAACTCTACTACCTATATATAGAACTTTAAAGAGCCTATACAGAGATAATAATGAAGACCAAGTACTCCGACTCCATGCTCAGTTAGCACTAGAAGAACTGAATGACATAGTCAAAGAATTCCTTTTTCCTGAAGTAAAATTAAATAAAAAAATTTTTGTTCTAGATTCAAATACCTAAACTTCTCTGTATGTATATTGTATATGTAAATATAACGAATTAAACCCTTTTCAAATGATATATGTATTTAGATACTTCTTATAAAACTTAGAACGTTATTTTTATATGTATGAACAATCAGGTACATAAAGTTCAAAAAGTTGCTACTGATAGTGGCAAAAGAAATAAATTGGAATGATAGAAACTGTAATTATTTCAAAGCAGGTCAAGGAACAAAAAATTACCGCGTGAAATAATCATAACGCCATCCAGAGATGATCATAGAGTGAACATTTAAAAATCTAACATATACTATTTAATAATATATACTAAATAGTATATGTAGTAGTATTTAACATTTTAATAAATCCAATCAAAATCTATAATCGGTTAATCACTGTCTGAACCATTATTTTCCGTCATTTCATTGAGGCTTTCTTGTTTGTAATGTCTATATTCTGGCTTCAACTCCCACATGTACTTATGTGGATTTTTTAAATTGTAATTACAAATATCTTTCATTACTGTCTTCAAGTATTTCATAGGTTGATTTGTAATCTGAAAAAGTTTATAATCACTAAATAAATCCATTAAATTTTAGTGTGCACTCTGCATCGGCCATGGATATGTGTTCCATCCAATACACATATCCATGCCCGATGCAGAGTGCATAGAAATAAAAAAATAAACTGTTATTTATACAATATATCACAGTTTATTTTTTTATTTCTTGAATGTTATTATTAAAAATTGAAATATTGCGGTTCACTGTATACTCTTTATAGTGGAGCGTACTATTTGAAACAATGAGCACGACTGATTTATTTTTACATTTTTTATTTTAATTTGATCCGTTACAAAATATAGTTTTTATTTTATACCACGTCGGATGATCGACAATTCACACGTCTCTGAAACGTGTCAAAAGTACCGAGCTGGTATCCAGGTGCTCCTGCCCAAAGATGAGAGCAGTACTCCATGTGCGGCCGAACCAAGGCTGTGACTTATAAAAAAGAGTCTGTTGTTGTTTGTAAAATTTGGCACCTTAGTAGTATAAAAAAAAAATCTGGTGCGCAGTGAAGTACCGCTTTACTCTATTGAGCACACCGAGCTTTTTGGACGCCAGCTTGTCCTTTTCTTCGATGTGACTACGGAACTCAATTGTGTGTGTGCTAGAGATGTCGACTCCGAGAATCCCAATACTCTTAGCGATCCTTCCGCGGGTTTGGAGTGCCATCTGCACTCGCCCCATAACGTCCGGTGAAGCTGTAAAGGCCAGCTACGGCCAACAGCATTAGGGTAGTCCGAAAAATAATAATAATAATAATAGCACTCAGAACCCGCGGAAGCATCTATGGAACGGCTGACGGATATGACTTTAGTCCGAGGCCACCGCTGTGAGTTTAAACCTCGGCGCCCACCGTCGTAATTTAGTAAACCCCTTTTAAATTGGACGGGGATCGATCGGAGTGTATCTTATAAGTATACATCGTAGTGACGTACAGTGATTCATGTGCATATTTTAGTTTAGTTTAGTACTTTGTCTTAGTTATATAGTGTTGCCAAATATTAAAAAATATACTTTTACTATTATTATTTTAGTGCTATAAAATAAAACTATTTACATATTTATTAATACGAGAGACTCTACCGACCTTATGTAAATCTCTAATATTGTAATATTGATGTTTCTCAAATGCAGCAAACAACGAGATGAGTACCGTCTCTATATCGTCGCGGTATTTCTTGCCTTTAAATTTTTTTTTTAATCTAATCTGTAATAGGAAATAATTTATCAGTTTCAACACTTACTTTTTAGTACTGATAATCGTCAGGATTCAATGTACAAGACTATTCTATAACTGCACTTTCACATCATATAGCATTAATGATACGAGTATAAAGCTATGGAACATTTCATTTGTCTTACTTTACACATCGGTGAGAGGGGTTTTTAGTATTAGGATTCTCTATCTATGGTGACTTGAATAACCCTGACAAAACATCAACCCCACATTATGTGAATAAATGAAATTGTCATTAGCACATATTTACACTAATAATTAATATAGGTACCTACTTACATTACGATCGATCGGTTTGAATTTTGGTTCAATTCTGGCCAAACGCTGAACTTGGCGCTGTGGTATAGAAGCTTTTGTAATAGATTCTGATTTTCGTTTATAGTAAACGGAGTCCGCGTGTGGTCTACATTCTAGTTTTTGTACGATGCGACCTTCCATATAAAGCTTTTCTGATTCTGGTATAACAGCATCTGAGTCTGAAGCTATAACAATGTTAAGTACAAGTAAAGGTTACTGTAGGTACATAACTCTTAGTACACGTCATAATTAGAATTATTTCATAGTTTGTGAAATCTAATCAAAACATTAAACAGATAAATTATTGACAAGCTCGGTGGTCTAGCGGTTTAGTACACCGCTTTACTGTCGATGGTCTCGGGTTTGATTCATTGCACCGCGCAAACATTTATGAGTGTGATTGTTTGTGTTGGTCTGGTTGGTCTATATATTATGTATGCCTTTAAAACAAAAAATATATCGAAGTGCTTATATCAGTTGTTTAGTACCCATAAAACAAGCTCTGCTTAATTTGAGACTACTTAACGCCGTGTGAATTGCCTTGGATTATTTTGATTATTTATATACGTTAAAATCCCATAATGTTATCCGGCATAAAAACATAGATACCTATACGTAATAATTATTTTTTGTACCTAACAACATAAATATATCATACTTCAATATAGGTATTTAACAAGTAATACTCACGTATGGCATGAGAAAATACACCCAAAGATTGTCTTGTTACATAGGACACGTCCAGGCGATGTTCCTTTGGTATACTCTGTTCTCCAGAATCTTCAAGACACAATTCTGCTTCCGACAAGGATAATTGAACCTGCGACTTTTGTCCCGCCAAGCGAGATATTTTCAACTTCCCCACTTCATTAGTACCCAAAGATTTATCCCATCTATTTGCAACATATTTTGGCACTTTTACAAGCCATACTTCCCTCCTTGTATGCGATAAATCTAAGTCCCGATTAATATGAGAATTATTAGCATTACTCATGTCAAATGTTATGTACTAAGATTAATATTATTTTTTGAGAACGTAATTTCGTAAGTATGCGTTATTTGTTTTTTGTAAAATAAATAATCAGGAGTCTATTATATTGCTCGATATTTATTAAATTACTTTATCGTTATCTATCGTTCGAGGTGATAACTTTAGATAACTTAAGATAACTTTAGATAAATTTTTTTTTTTTTTTTTTTTTTCTTCGACTGGCAACACCGACGACAATTGTCATTTTCAGCTGGCCGTAATAATAAATAAATTTTAATTGTTTATCATACAAATATTATAATTTCAATATTGTTATTAGTGATCTAATAGTGTAATTAGTGTCGATTGTTGTTTGTGTACAGTTTAGTGGTGTATTACTTGCAAAAATCGACATTACAAATAGTGTACCGGCCATCTGTCAAACTGTTCGTGAACAACTAAGTTTTATTCAAAATTATTTTGCAATTGTTTGTTGGATTTATCCCAAGAAACTCATAATCATTGCAAGTTTTACATAAAATATTCATATTAAGTTAAATTAATAATAATTATAGTGAAGTTCGGTTGTTGCATACGTCGAAGGAAAAAAATACCCACTAATTTAATTGTAAGTCTTTTTATATTTTGTATTATTATAATTTAAAGGGAATGAGCACAATTTATCTACATTTATTTCGTTATTCAGTTAAAACGTTTATTTAGATTATCAATTTATCAAATATAACTTGTTTATAATATACCTAGGAGAATTTATTCACAATTTTAACACTTAAACTGTATAGTAAGGTTCAGCTGCTGTTCTCGTTGTAATACTTAGCTTCTTTTAGAAATAGCTCACTTCACTCTCCCTAGTAACTATTTATATTCTTAATAATGTCACTATCTACCCGTTCCACAACTGCGCGGCAGACAGAGATGAAGCTTAAAGTGGCCCTACAAGAACTTCAGGCATCCAAAGATCTCAGTGACAAGTTGATCAGGGAGAGAGAAGAGAGTGAAGATGAAATTTTAAAAATTATAAATAAAAATACACAATTAAAATCTGAATTGTCAGAACTTTATAATAGTCATCAGGAAGTTATTGAGCAGCGGGATCAGCTTCAAGAACTATTAAGTAGCTTTCACCAATGTAGTGATACACATGAGCAAGCCTTGAGGCGTATCACTGAGTTGGAGCTTGAGTTAAAGCAGGCATATCTTAAAATTAATGATCTTGACACAAAATTTACAATGGGGGCCCCATATTTCAAAATTAGCCAGTAGGCTTAGTTCTGCTGCTTATGCAATTAGAAGGATAAGGCAATTAACAGACGTGGCGACGGCAAAACTTGTATATTTTAGTTATTTCCATAGCATTATGTCATATGGCATACTGCTATGGGGTAAAGCTGCCGATATAAATACTATATTTATTTTACAAAAGAGAGCCATACGTTCTATTTATGGTATGGGTTCTAGAGAGTCATTACGTCAATGCTTTAAACAATCAAATATCCTCACCGTTGCCTCACAGTACATTTATGAAAATATTATGTATACAAGGAAAAACTTAGATAGTTTCAAGAAACTTAAAGACTGTACAAGTAGAAACTTACGCAATAAAAATAAGCTAATTTTACCTAAATGCCGTCTACACAAAGTTAGTAATTCATTTTATGGTAATTGCGTAAGATTCTATAATAAACTGCCAGAGTCTACGCTAAATCTTACAGAGAGGCAATTCAAATCTTATATTAAACAAATGTTATGTAAAAAAGCCTATTATAAGATAGATGAATTTATAGATGATAGCAATATATAGCAAGAATAAGTTTATTTGCGGACAACGTTATAATTTTAATTTTCATACTGCTTTCTTGATATATGATAGCGTAGCGGCTTCTGTATTGATTGCCGCATGCATCCTTATGTAAAGTGCGAATACTGTAACTACCATATAGTAATTTTTGTAGCTGTGACGTGGTCGTGTGGAATGAGTAGTCATGCTCACTAAAATGTCCAGACATGTGGCGGCGTGGTGGGCCGGGTCAATGGGCTCCCTAAAATATGGTCGAGCGCAGTGATGGCTGGCTCATCCGTCATACTCGTGAACGAGTGCTGCTTGTAGGGACTGGTCTGCTCTTATCACTACGACTGATTTAATCTTATTGCATGATTATATTTGACCCAAAAAATTAGTGCTTGTTGGTAGTTTGTATTCACACGTTTCGACTTGTAAATGTAAACTTACAAGGATTATTTAAAAGAGCAACACACAAGTTTCTTGCTCGTTCTTCTTGTGATGAGACAGCTTTCCGAACGAGTGGTAGATAAAAAACAAATTGTTATGACTATTCAAAAGTGCTTAAATTAAGTTTATTTGAATAAATGATTTTCTATTCTATTCTATTCTATTCTTATATTTATATATAATTTTATAATTATATAAAAATAAATATTTGTAGTGCTTGTTTATCAATTATAGTATTGAATTTTTTTTTGCCAAATAGAAAGCTATAATTTGAAAACTACATGTTTGTGCATGTGTCTATATAGGTACTTACCAACATGTTTTCTCGGTGTATGTTATATAATTGTATAATAAGTCGTTATTATAGATATCTCTACTATACATCAACCTTTCACCATCAAGAAGAATAACGGTCCTCCACCGTGCATTTTTCCAGAAACTTTACCACGCAAACACACATTTCCGCCATTTCAATTTCATTGTTGAATCACTTTCCAGCAACGGTATTTCCAAACCAATATAATATTTAAACCTTTAAGAGCTTATTCCTTCTTAAAAGGTCGGCTTCTTAAAGGAACTTGCAATTTCCTGGTGCTGCAAGTGCTTATGGGCGTGCTGTAATTACTTACCATCAGGTGAGCCGAAGGAGTGTATGTCCCCTATGCTATAAAGATACTTTTGTTGTTTGTATTTCGTACATTTTTCCTTAAATAGGGAACGTGACTATTGAGTAACCTTAATGAGATATTTAGGTAGGTACTAAGTAAATGTTAAAGTAATCGTTGACTATGCCGCTGTCTATAGTGATTAGTTTACGAGTTTTGCGTCTAGTATACTGGTGTAATTTATATAGATATCCCTTTAATTAATTAATTGGTACTTATAACAGACACACTCTCAGACCATCGAATATTGATTATTAAATTAAACCCCTAAAATAAACATTTTAAAAATTTTAACTTCTTCACGTACTGTATAATAGGATTCGAGTTCACACCTCTCAGATACCTATCCGCGTCGAAACTTTTCCTCATTAAGTAATCCACGAATAGTTATATATAATTTTATTTCACATTTATTATGCAGGCTGGTCTATAAGTAGAACCATTCTTCACAGGGTAGGTAATTACCATGCATTACAATTTACATTACATATCTATGTGTGCAGCACCATATTAGGTACAATTGGTTTTTACTGCAAATTTTCACAAAATTTTTCATGAACAGGGAAAAAGATAACAACTAAATCAAAATACTTAATATAATTTTTATTATATATTTTTATTTAAGTATCACACTTTATATCCTTATATCTAATTATATACCGTCTCGTATTTATTTATAATTATTATATTAAATTAAAAATTGGCCAAGATATGAGTTATATTGCATCATCACATCATACACACAGTCGAATCATAGGAAATATTATTAATGTATTGATTTCAGACACTATAATATTCGGCCAGCAAAATAATTGAAAATAGCCACTCGTGCTTAGTTACTAGTTTTATAAATACCTACTACTTACTACTTCAACATTAAGTAGGTAATATTATATTAAATTTTATTACACCGTTTAAATTACATACAATAAAATTTATTTCTTTTTACACTCAACAAATTACATCTGCAATCCTAGTTTACCTACTAGCAAAGAAACATGTGTTCATGGTGCATAATAAAATACTGGCCATAACGCATAAAATATATCATAAACCAACAAACAAACAAACATACCATCACAACTGTTATTCGTGATGGAAGTCAACATTGTCAACTATTATAATGTTGTAATGAACTCAAAACTTTACACTTCAGATTCGATATATTTTCGTGAAAGCGGAGCGTACTGACCTCACTTGGAACAATTTTTGGCGTTATACCTATCGGTATTTCCTTCACCGACCAGTGCAGTCAGTCAGAAATATAAATTTGTCACACACAGTTTTTTAATTGTGTTGGCCAGATTTGTACTCACGATTTCTTGGGTGTAATTCAGGGTAGTAAACCAATAATTACTCCTACATATAATCAGAAGCTACTTATGTACACAATATATATTAATAGGCTATTTCTTTTATCTACCTATTAAGAACTGCTCAAATTCAAGTATTGAAAAGCAGCTACATATAGATATCTAGTTGAAAAGATGAATTGCGTGTGGCAAACTTATTTTCCAATAAAAAACAATTGAAATTAACAGATTTTCATTTTAGTAAGTACCATTTAAGTTGCTGTTTCAAGCCGTATTGACACTAGCGTCGTCGACTACTGCAGCAACCACGCCACCACGCTATCGAGTCCCTCGTTCCCTCGTTATGTTTATAATCATAGATAATACAATATTATGTGCAAACACGCGGAAACAATCTTATTTTAACAATAGCAGTCAAATAACTTTATTCATGCTTCAGAAGTGTTATCTCCATCATTTGGTTTTTTCGCGAGGCTGTCATCTTTTTCAGACAAAGTAATAGAATATACAGAACTTCGATCGGAAAACCTGTCTCGGTTTCTTCTGCCAAAAATACTACTTCTAGACAGAGAGGACACAGTGGCAATCGAAATGTTATCTTTGTCAATTTGAGGGACCATTTTCCATATGAGCAAAGCGATACCTCCAAAGGCAGCCACAACTAAGAACATTACGAGAGAGATTTCGCCAAATACACCTGAAAAAAAATAGACATTATAACCTAATACCTTCACGATTATTATCAAATGGGGTAGTCAGTAGTATTACCAACTTGTGGTGAACGCAACACTCGATATGCCCGCATTTTGCTAGGTTACCTACATTTTCATACAATGTTGCAGGAGGGGCTCGTCGTCGTCTCTCAAATGCAAATGTTTTGTTATCAGCGATCATATAAATTGATACAAATATTTTTTATAATCAAATTTAAACGCCTGGGTCACATCTCTCTCACGTTAACACTATGACAACAGTTTTAATATTAATTGTATTTACTTTGTTGTACTTCCTCCTTGCGTGCCTCCAGCCTGGCCGGTTGTAATTCATTATAATCCAAGTCCTGATTGTCGTAGGGTTCCGCGTAACCAGAATGAGGTTTAATATGATGAAGCACGTCTCCAGGATTAGCTTTTGGCAAGTTTATTCCTGCTCTAACCGTCAGGGTCTCCGGTTTGTATGTACAAAGTACCAAAAATCTGTAATTCATAATAACTATTATTACTCATTAATTTCTTTACTTCTCTATATACGTAATAGATAATAATTTTATTTACGCCCATTGTAATTAAAGTTTATAAAATATGTACCAGAACGAACCAGAATATTAACATTTTTATTAATAATTTACATTACATTTTTAACAATTTTATGAAATCTAATACCCTAATAACTGAAAAACTCTAATAGCACTATTACTTGTATGACGAAAAATGTAAATCATATTATAACGAATATATTTGCAACAGACATACAATTTACATTGAAAACAATTTGAATATCAGGTCGAATTCATTTTAAGAGATAGAAAGATCAAGAAATATATTGAATAGAAACTTATGTAGGCAATGGTTACTTCTTACAACTGAATATCTAATAAAATATGTGAATGTAGATTACAATACATCTGTATGATGTCTTCAATAACTTACCGTCTAGTACTGTGAGTGAGAATTGGTAAATTCTCTTGCACAATCACATATGTTGCTACTGTCGTTTCATTGACCTCAGAACCACATTCATCATGATGAATGCGCAGAATATATGCATCCTGAGCACTATTAGGGTTGCCTTGAAGAGAGCATCTCTCTGGACCTCCATCAACAGCCTCCACTGCGATGCGCCCTCCGAAGTATGGCCCAGTTGATACTTCGACTTCGCTCGCATGCGGTAAGCATTGTGTTGCCCGGGCTGAAACTAATGATAAAGTGGTTGTTGGTAAGTGTACATGCTACAATCTTAACATAGTATGAAATGAATACTTTCTTTCGCTGTCTGTTTGCTTAGACCTTTAACTACTACTACTACGCAACGGATTTTAATGCAATTTTAGCAATAGATAGAGTGCTGCAAGATGGTTTACATCCGTGCGAAGCCGGGGCGGGTATCTAGTATAGAATATAATTAAACCAAGATTGAGGAGCATGCTCATACTAAAATGGGTAAAGAAACTATAAAACATCAAATGTTATCTAAGGTAAGTAAATAATAAATAGATAAATATCTAGACAATGCTACTCACTGTACATACTGTTCCGTCTTCTAGCCTTATATATTGATTGGCAATATATAACGCGTGGAACACTACGAACACTACTATAGATAATTGGTACAGGGGATAGTTAGTAATGGGAACTTCTGGCCCCATTGTTAGCAATATAACAGGTCGATCTCATCTCTGGAAAATATTGTAATTTAATACAGGTGAAATCACATTCTTTCAGGATCGACTAAGTAACATTATCCTCTACTGATCCCGCCACCGTATATACTTTAAATCAGATGTCAGCACCATTCCACATCATACATTAAGTAGCAACTTGCTTTGTAAACTTTGTTTCGATGTAAAGTGCATATTAGGCAGTGAAATTACGGGTTAAGAAGCATTTTAGTCCCCTGGAATGCCAACGCAGGAGTGATATAAAGAGTGTTACATAACAACGTGCTGTTCATGTATATAGGCGAGGGTAAGTACCATCAGGGGTCTTCAACTTGTTTGCCATTCCAATTACATCAAAATATTAGGTAGTATATGTACATAATAGCGACCTTACATACGTATAATAACAATGTCAAACTCACATCCTTTTGTGGGTACTATAATTATTTTGGAACCAATAGAGTGTGGGTCGGCAAGGTCACGCGCGTCACGCCTGACGGGGCGCACTTCAAATGAATACGTGGTCGCCATCCGTAGACCCGTGATCAGGGTGCTGTACACCCGTCCATGACGTCCACTCGCAGCCTCAGTCGTGGGTGTTGTGGTAGTGGTTCTTAGTGGCTGAACTGTTGTCGTCGAGAGGTCTGCTACCTTCGCCAATTTCTCTTCCTCCAAATTGTCGATTACCTTTAAAACGCAGTATAGTATTAAGTACTTTATTTGGTATCTCAAAAATAAATCTACCTCTATCGTTAACAAACACGATTAGGTTACATTGTTTTACTACAGATTTCAGATGTTAGAAAACCGGAAGATAGTGTTTCATTTTCGTCATCGTCTAACGAGAGAGTCTGAAGAAATAGTAAAATATAGAAATATAGTAAATAAGTAGTCATAAAGTGAATACCATATTTTTCAAGTTATTATGACTTAAAAACCAAATTGTCATTTTCGGTTTTTAAGTCACAATGAACAACAAACTTGAAAAAAATGATACTGACTAAATTTCTGTGTACCAATCTGTGCTACATATCAGTATCAGTAAACATATCGCTCAAATAAAAAAGAAGTTTCAAAATTAGTACAAAATTAAACTATCATGAATCCTTAGCAACCAAATTGAAAATTTCTTAATTTTTTTAGTCTGTTAAAAGTAATATACACCGTTACATATCAATGTGGGCGTAGTTAATCAGCTCTCAAAGATGACTTAGCCACTGAATCACTCGAGGTAGTCCTAACCAAAACCTCAAGAGCGACATCGCGCAAAAGTAGGTTTAGATACAGTTAGGCCATAAGCTCCTTGCAACTGTCATAGAAGTATAGGAATTGAGTTATAATTACGATAAACATTTAATAAAATCGTGGAGCGTATAATGGTGGCGCCATCAGCATGTAACAATGATAACAATATCGTGCTGACGTCACGCCCAGTGCGTATATCTAGAGTTATTATCTCCCGTTTCGGAGTGCAAACTCATTATAGAACTTAACAAGCTTTAAGTTAAGTACATGGTGCTGCGCCTACGCATCGAGATATATACGAAGATAAATTGGGAAAATTCTTATCTATGTTTCCGCTAGGTCCCTTGTACGTCAGAGAGAAAACCGAGTGCCGTTTAGACCTTTATCGACTCTTTGTATAGAGTCTTCTCTTAGACTCTAGACTCTCCAGGAAGTCTAGAGTGTCTACGGGAAATACAGTAACATTGTATTTCAACATTACAGGTTGGTACATACCGTACATTATCAAACTGAATAATAACGTGATCAAGTTAGGATCAAAGCAAATCCCATCGAATAGATAAGAAAGTTTATTAAATTTGCCCCTGTATTGGTTTATCAGTGCTTTATTTACAGCCTTATTGACATTGCATATATAAATCTACATATCTGTTTTTCGATTCGATTGGCATTAAAATTTAGTCAATCAGTTTTTGAATTTTAGCATTTGAATATATTCAGAATACTAAAATTTACGGAAAATTGTTTTTTTTTTAACTAATACTCTTTCCAATTTCCTTATACATTACGCTCACTACTCGTAACATACTTCTGGACATACTTCTCATTACCCATATGTAGCAGATAATAATAGTAATACCTCAGAACACAGCTTAGCTTGGGACTAGATATCACAGCGCTATCTAGTCCCAAGCTAAACAGATATACATTTTCTTCATCTTCTCCATAGATCCATTTTTTTGTGTATACATATATAAAATATCCAGACCGATATAAACTATCATACTCATGAAATACATATGTTTGTACCGTGCGAGGAATCGAACCTGGGTTTATAAGAAGTAGGGTACGCTAAACCACCGAGGTCATTATTTTTTTTAATAATTAATATACATGTATAGATAGGTAACTATGGTAGATAGAATGCGGTAAATACCTTTGTTCGGCATCGGTATTGTCCCCATGCTTGTAGTTCGCAATAATGTACTTGGAATGCTAATAATTTAGGTCGCTCTTCGTCTCCTTTGCCGTATTCCCAACGGAGTCGAACATCCCGAAAGTCTGGCTCGCCGATCAGGTGCAATACTTCTGAAAAAATATATTAATATTACTGTATGAAACTATGCGTACAGATTACATAAAATACATAATTACACTAGTACAGTAGACGAAGTTTCCCGCAACTTCGTCTGCTTTTTTGAGATGAAGGATAGCTCTCGTGATATATACAATATCTATATCACTTAATATCAAATTTAATTAAGATCCGTTGAAACCGTTTGCTTTAAAAACATTACATTACAACCGTTTACTTGTAAAAAAGTAACAAACACCAGTCAGTCTATTTGTTACGTTTAGGGTAATTAGTACTAAAATACTTACCTAGTTACGTATTTTTAATGACTAAATATAAATATATGAAAATTACAACTTAAGTATAATAAGTAGATTTTGTATGGTATATTCTTGTATTCATTCATATTTCATTGTGCGAATATACATATGTAGTACAAAACTAGTTACGGAGCTATATTGTTAACAAGTATTTTCACTTTTTTCATGGCAAATTATCGCTAACGACGCCGATAGTAGGTGTAAAAGTGGATCACTGATGCAGTCGCCACGAATTAAAGAGATGACTGTGCATATTTGTACTAATTTACGTTGAAGTTGGAAAGTTACTAGAGTTTTTCGGCTCTGTCAACAAATTTGTGGTAATAAAATTAAAAAAAAAGTATCACTATAAATTTTGTTTATCATTGTATAAATACATGTTGGTTTACACGGTAAAAGTATTGGGTTGAGTTAATTATTTCAATTAATATCTACTTATTAGGTATAAAAATACATTCAATCATAGAGTGATACGTGAGTCACTTAAATTAGTAGATATAGAATTATATTGTATATCAGGTGTCACATGACCTATCTAGGCTGCATAATTGGAATTATATATATATATGTATATATATGTATATATTAAACAAAATAATATTGCGACTATAAATTGAGATGTATAATTGCACACAATGTGCAAATCAAATTTGCAATCGGGTCAGTAATTTAGGAATCCATCGCGGACAAACAATGCGACACGTAATTTTTATTATAAAGATTAACTTGACATACACACATATATATATAGGTATAATACAAAAAAATGGAAACAAAAACATAATGTCATTTATATACTATAATTGCTACAGCTTATAATATTCTATAAATAGTATAAAAAAACTCGCTGATCTGTCGGTAGCTCTGGGCCACTTCTTCTAAACCACGCAACTGATTTTGATACGGTTTTCACTATTATTTCAAGAATTAGTTCCGGAAAGGTTTTAAGTACAATACTTACACTATATGCGTTACGACCTCTGTTTTATCACATATACCTACTATACACTCATACGAAATAAGGGAACGTCAACTGTTTATAAAATTAATACACTTAGTAGCCTGATTCGTTTTTAGTAGCATAATATTTGATATTGACAGCAGCATAAATCTACCATTAGTACCTATAGGTTATACCACCATTAACATCAAGAGCGTCCGTCAGTATATATAGATTACAGTAATTAAGTTTTAGTTCCTAATCTAATCTGAATCTGAGGACCAGTGCGTATAAAATTACAATCTAGCAAAAACTATTATCAGAATTGTGTACCGTACACACACAATACGAGATGAATAGAGAACCTCTTTCTTTTTTAAGAAGGTTGAAAAACCCATTCGTTAGATATACAACCGCAATATTACATTGAATATTTCATATTTATGAGGTCAAAAACCATAATTTGATAAGACTTCCAAATGGAATAGCTGACAGCATCGAAACGGATATGGTCTCATGTCGATGAGATTCACGGCTATTCGCGGTTTTGAGGGCTCGGAAACAAAAAGTTAAAACGGGATTCTTCTTGACGCGAGTGTGTTATTAATATGGACATAAAAATATTTAAAGAATATGATACCTACTCTCTTTGCTACAGAGCTTTAATGGTAGGCAAATTTGCCTAATTAATTTGTTTAATTAATCCCTCTTAGGAGGCTTTAGGCTTCGAAATTGTTTATTATTGTTTGTCGCTGCATTTTTAACTTATACAATGAAAAATATAGGTAAAGAATGTGAAATAAAAACTAATATTTATTTTATGTAGATTTGTATGTTCCCAATGGGTAAACCAAAAAAATACTTATTAAAGGAAGTTTTCACCTATAAATAAGTTAAATTAGTAGCAAGTAATATGTGGACACGAGGGAAACCTGCTGCATATAATAGGGAGATACTTGACTGACTGGCTTTTTTTCTTCTGACGGCTTGATCTCTTTGTAGTTTGCTAATTTATTATAAATAGTGCTCACACAATGATCGAATTTCGACCATAACGAATATAAATTATAAGTTTGAAAATTATTAAGGTTTTATTGTCAAAGAATATACTACCATGCGGCAGTCTTGATGATAAAAATATTTTTGACTCCACCTGAAACTATATTATTTACATAAGCAAACTGTATCGAGTTGTATGTTTATTGTGTTATTATGATACAGTATTAGATATACTGACATAGTGTGACGGATGTGGTGACGAACAGGCATGACCTGACGACTGGACCGTAACGTCTATTGTGAATGACACGTTCGCTTTATGATTGTAGGTACCTCTATAATACACTGAGCTCAGTAGATATAGAAGTAAATACTGATCAATATAGATCAACACAAATTTGATATTAATTTACAGATGACGATGTATACCTATATTTTATTGACTCCAGAATACGCGTATAAACATGAGTCAATTTATAAATCAACTATTTGCGAATCAATTTAGATTTAAGTATAATATAAAAATGCCTAACTCTCAAGGAGCCTGGCTTAAAGATAGTTAAGTACACACAAACCTGCAGTGGATAAAGTGTTTTGTTTGTTTATAAATAATATCTTATAGCCTTAATGGATGTATCAAGGCAGAATACATCGACCTGTCTTTCACTGGTATATACCAGCAAATACCGTTAGTACAGCCTGGTTTGCTGTTTTATTTTAATGAAAACGTTGCTTTCCATTCTTTTAGTAAATTATTTATGACGAATATTCTGCGTGTTACCGGTATTGTGGCTGGCGAACGACGCGAAACGCAACTAAACAAAGCGTTTCACGCGTCGCCTCGCACTCTTCCTGCTGTCGGTTTATGGGGCCATCTGATTTGGGACCAAGAGGTGTCATCGCTGTTAACGATGATGTCGATCGCAAATGATTTTTCAGCTAACTTCTAAAAGAAAAGATTGTTATAAAACTATACTTTTGAAATACTTGTTTTTAAAAACTGGTTTTGTGATATATCTATATGTAAATATCTTACACTTGTTACCCCAGACCTAGTGTCACTATTTGTGACTATTTTTGTTGCTTAATGAATGCTATGGAATGTTTGTATTAAGTCTTAATGTATTGGATCTTTTCATTTACACAATCTTTGAACGAGACCAAACCGGATCCGGATTTCTGAATCATATACCTATCGGAAATAGATGCTTTCATAAATATTAGTCTACGTTTAACAACACCGGATATAATTTGGTTAACTTTTATATTTAGAGCACAATTTTGGACCTCTTTACAAAGTAAGTACCAATATTTATTTAAAAATTAACGATGTATGAGTTGGAACTGAAGTGTTGATTTATTGACCTATGGCTGCTATTAATGATTTTTAGTATTTTTATTTGTGCCACTAGTCTCTAGTCTAGTCTAGTCTAGTCTCTACCTACTAACATGTCATCCTGGTAAGTATTTTTTTCCTCTATTGATAAGTTATAAGTGTGAGGACAAATCCATACTAATATTACAAAAGCGAAAATGTGTCTTGTATCTGAATGGATCTTAATGATTATATATTCTTAATAATTTGACATACCTAAGGATAGTCTGTACCACGAATCCAGATAGGTATAGCCTACCTGTTATATCTCAGATAATCAAAGTCGTATATTTGATTAAAAATACCATCAAAAACATAACCGGCATTGTAAAAATTAATGTATGCAATAAATAAAAATGTAACTTTATTATCGACACAGTGAACTGCCGGAACTGTGCCTCAGAAATATGAACCGTGATGATATGCATCAGCGAGCTCACGTTCAAGAATTCCACGCCGCAATTGTTTTGAGGCCTAGGTCGTTGGAGGTCCTACATCAAGTAGTTATATATCTATATGTATACACAGGGCTACTCCAGGGGTAAATGGTACACCAAACCAAAACGTACTAACAATATCTGCACTTAATACAAAATTACATTCCAAGAGATGAAAAGTGGAAATCACCTTGATAGGAGCTCACAAAAATGATTCGCATAGTAGATTTTTTTTACCTAACGAAAATTAAAGTTACCTATTTCTTACATTTATCATTAGGTAGCTAAATGAAAAAAAAAAGCTTATTAAATATAATAGCACCAAACGAGCAAACATTTACTACATTTTAAATTTGGCTATATACAAATAAACAAACAATGACAACTTTCTAATGAATCTGAATATTCTGCATAAGGAGTTGTGAATATATGGACGTTACTATAAGTGAATTCTGAATGTCGATCAGAAAGCTGGTGCTTACACATATAAATTTCACTTTGTGCCATCCTAACCATGCGTGTATATCCACCGTTTTAGCCGCATTTAATTAAAACTGACCCACTGACGTTAAACAAAGCAAACAAAACAGAAAACTCCAAATATACGAGTATTTCGTTCATAATACACAACGCGGTTACGAAGAGTACATTGTATTGGAATGCCAACTGTACGAGAACCCGCGTACAGATACGGCCGCGTATAATTTTTGACCATTGATACGAGGACATTTTTATCCTCATACAAGGTGTGTACGAGATATTGGCCTACGGAGTTCAGAAAAATGAGGTTGGAAAGCCAAACTAACCCGATATAGGTACGAGATTTTTCACTTTGTACGAAGTTAAATATATGGTAAGTGCTGGAGACAGTCATGATTCATTGTGGTATAGGTATAGGAAATTGATATTGAAAAAGCTTTCACAAATATACGATATAATTATG